ATTCAAACTCTGAAATTATACACAAACACACCCCTTAACTCAAACACCAATACTACACACAAATATGCATTTAAAAGCCATAATTGCATCCAAATACACACCAGCCATCAAGCGCAAACATTACATACAAATACACTCCTGTATTAAAACACTAAAATTATATACAAACACCTTTTCAATCAAACACCAACACTTCACACAAAAGTATACCTGCATTTAAAAGCCAACACTACATGCAACACACACTTCCATTCAAACACAAACACTACACGCAAGTATTCATTGCATTCCAATGACAACAGAACATACAATTACATCCCTACATGTACACATACATTCAATACAAAACCATGCCTACATTCAAATGCATAAACACTGCTCATGAATACAATCCTGTAAGAATGGACAAATGGTAGATCCCACTTGGCATAAAATCGTAGGAGTTGTATGACAGATGGGGATCTACCTTTTGGCCAATCTTGCACTAGAAGGGAGCCAAAACAACTTCCTTGCACCAGGGCCCTCAATACATTAGTTCCGCCAGTGATCAGGGGAGATGCAGTCCACAACACCTGGAGTGACGATGGTTGCCTACCCCTGGCTTAGAGCATCAGATGATGGCTCTCAATCAATCAGTTAAGACCTGCACCTCTATGCTTAGCTCAGAGCAGAGAGCAAGGAAAAGTGCCAGGTGGACCACATGTAAGAAGAACAACCACTACAAAAATACCTGCCATCATAACCACTAATGTACAATGTAATGGCTATGGTGCTTAGAGTGTTCCTTTAACCAGCCGCATTGAGATCTAGAGACAAGAAACAAAACAACAGAAATGATTCAACGCATTTCTTGAAAATATTTGTTGTTTCTCTATTTATTGTTGAGTTTTGCTTGAATATTCACAAAAAAAAATTTCATTTTAGTGTCATGTTAAGAATTATTTCCATTTACAAAATATAAACAGTGATTAGCACTGGCATCAGATGCAGGACATTTAGAATTCTGTAGTACCCCTATATTAACTCTCCTCCTTTCTATAGGTTTATTCTTGAAAACAAACACTCTTTTGGCAAGCTTTGTAATAAGGCTATCCTTCTTTGGCAAACATATTCTGCTCTGCCCTGTAAAGGAATGCAATGTTGAATTATGTGTAGACACTGGATTGCTTAAGAAAACAGAACATTTTTTAACACCGTGCTGAGCACAGCACTAATAACAGCATGGGAGCCCAGCAATCAGCGCATCATTTTTTTTTCTCTCCTTTCTGTTTCATTACTAAAATCCTATTGAGCAATCATGTAACCATATTTGGTTTTGCACACAACCTGAACGACCCTTTAAATACACATATGCCTACACTGACAATGGATCTGTAAATTCCAGCCTTCAACCGTACCACATTCAGCAGGTACATCATTAAAACAGGTGTGTATATATGAAAATGCTTGAACCATTGATTAACCTTTATTGGGATAGTTCACGAGAAGACATGAATTTTAAGATGTTCATCTTGACTATTTTATCTGTAGTTCCTTGTTTTGGCCACAGGTGACACTTGTTTGATTACATTTTAGATATTCGAAGTTGTTTTATTGGAAAGTCCACACACTTTTTTTGTAGAGAACTAACTAAATTACATATGTGAGCTGATAGTGGGAGGTTTAAGCAAGAAAGATTAATTTAATGACAGTTAAAAGGGTGTTTTGCTTTACAACCAGTCGGTTTCAGTGTCTGCAGTGAGTGTACAGATGTGTACTCACCAGTGGGGATACATAGCTCTCCCCTCCATATTGATTTAAATAAACACTGTAGTGTTAGGAATACAAAGTTGCATTCCTAAACATATAGTGTCCTCTGCCTTATCGTTTTCCTCTTTCATGTGTGTGTGGAACATATACATAAAACACATACAGGGTATATACACACTAAGTTTTCCTCTTTAAATTCTTTTAAAAGTATTGTGTACATCAAGCATGTCAAACTCAAAGTCTAGCATGGGCCACATAAACAAGGTTTAAGTTTATGTGGGACAAAAAAAAAACCTTACATTTTCATAGAAACGTAGGTTTATGTTGAAAAGTACAGTATAAAAAACTCCCAGCATCCCACTATATACCCAGCATATACTAAACTACAGCAAACCCCCTATTAAATTCCAGACCCCCATATAATAAATGCCAGTCCTCCCCCTGTACTAAATTCCAGTCCCACCCCTCTACTAAATCCCAGCAACCCTCTCTAGCCAACAAGCAGACTCCAATCACATTGCCGCTGCCAGTATGCAACTCTGAAGTCTGGCCTCTGGTATAGCCCAAATGATGCCGTCCGCACCCTGTGCCAAAGGCGATCCTCTCGCTACTTCTTGAAACCCTGTGAAGGTGCAGCACGTCGATGTCACAATGGAATTTTACGTGGTGTTGCGTGCTGCCATGCACCTCCAGGTACTCCACTGTCCAGCCGCCTCCATCGTAACACTGACCGACACACACACACGCTCACTCTACACACACACAGACACACACACACACACTGACAGACACAGACACACTCACTGACAGACTGACATACACACTCACTGACACACACACAGACACACACTCACTCTACACACACACACACACACTGACAGACACACACACACTGACAGACACAGACACACTCACTGACAGACTGACATACACACTCACTGACACACACACAGACACACACTCACTGACATACACAGACATACACATACTCACACACACACACTCACTGACAGTCACACACACAGACACACACTCACTCACTGAAAGACACAGACAGAAACACACTCACTGACAGACACACTCATTCACTGACAGACACACACAGTCAGACACACACACACTCACTGACAGACACACACTCAATGACATACACAGACATACACATACTCACACACACACACTCACTGACAGTCACACACACACATACAGACACACACTCACTCACTGAAAGACACAGACAGACACGCACTCGCTGACAGACACACTCATTCACTGACAGACACACACAGTCAGACACACACACACTCACTGACAGACACACACTCATTCACTGACAGACACACACTGACACACACATACACACACTCACAGACTGACAGACACACACACTCACTCACTGACAGATACACATACACTCACTCACTGACAGACACACACATACTCACACACACACACACACACATGCTCACAAGTAGCCAAATATTGTTTTGACACATTCATCTCAATGAGAGATAATACCTTCATTGTATTAATTGTAACGGTAAATGTGAATGGTTGTCTGTCATTATTTAAGAAGAAAGAGCCCCACTAGCCACACTTACTGATCAGAAAGTGTAGCACATTTTTTGAATAGATCCTCTAAATCAATGTAGTTTAACCAAAGATTCCTAGTTTGTAAGTGAACCAAAATGATTTACAATGTTCCCCAGACTGGACACCTAGCATGCTTTATGTCTTGAATAAGTACCATAACCACTACAGATCCACTATAGTGCTTCTTCCTACAGGACAGAGCAAAGACATTAGATCGCATCAGTCCTTTTTTGCTTTTTCAATATCAATTGTGACCTACTTCAGATCGAATTAATTGACTGAGAGTGTCAACTGACACTCCCAGTCAATGAATGGCATACTTCCCTCACTTTAATTTTAGGGGTGTGAGTGGGGGTGTGGCCAGTTGCGAAGCTGTTCTGAGAAGTTTTACGTGACTAACGTATAACAATAAATGCAACTAACAATGTATCTAATTTACACAGACTAATTTCTAAACACATTTATTGAAGATTAAAAATTTATTTTTGTTTTTTTTATACATTCAGACCCACCAACAATATTGAGCTCCTAGAAGAGGGGTCATTATGATAAAAAGTACAGAGGGTTTAAGCCCAAAATATAGACTTTCCCCATTAAATAGAGACACTCCAAGGATATGGAATAATGTCCAGAGTCATTGGATGGCAATTACTAACAGTCCACTAGCGTACAGGATTTGTGGACTGTGGCCTTAGAGTGCCATTTTAAGCTGAGTAAAAGTAACTAGATTTGCAAAGGGCATTTGAAAAAGTACTGTAGGAGTGAAACTGCCAGTGGGAATTGTGTAGGGTATTTGATAGTATAGCACTGTGTGGGTTTGAGCATGGGTTGCTGGCCTATAATCTCAATGCTCTCCATGATTGGCTTGGGGATTTTTCTAAGAGATACCACTGTCTGGGGTCAATTCGGCAGATTATGATCAGTATGTATAATATGGATGCATTTGCAAATGTCTGTGGAATGAAGTGAAACATTTGTGTTAATGGAGTCATGGAAAACATAGGTGATCACTTAGGCATGAGCTGATTTCTGTGAATACTCCCTCATGCAGCACAGGCCATAGTGATGGAGCTTGCAGGGAGACAGGTTGTCACACCTAGCAACAGTAGCAGCAAACCCATATATAATTTGCTCTGTGTGAGTAGGACCATTAAAACAGAGATCTGTGAAATTTGTGGGCAAATCAAAACTTGTAGTATGCCCCTACTCTCCCAGGCTGAAGGTTCCAAGCCCTTCTCTGTCTAGAGTTGGAAACAAGGCAGGAAGGACCACTGAAACCTGAGGATGTAATACATACACTGATATGCATGCATTAACATTACATTCAAACACAGACACACAATGACACTTGTACACTAACAATCATGCAATAATACTCATGTAAACACACTTTAGTACTAGACATGTGCAATTTGTTTCATTCTGAATGCAAATTCGGACGCATTTTGGAAATTCGGACATTTGGATGCTTCCGAATGTCCAAAGTGCCGAATTTTGGAATTTCCGAAGTGCCGAAATGCCGAATTTTGGAATGCCAAACCAAACCAAATTTCCGAAGCGCTGTATTTCGGAATGCCAAACCAAACTGAATTGCCGAAGTGCCGAATTTCTGAATGCCGAACCGAACCAAATTGCCAAAGTGCCAAAGTGCTTTGGATTTCTGAAAAGTGGCAAAACAGGAGAGGGCTGGGGTTAGGGTTGGGGTAGGGTTAGGGTTAGGTAGGTTTAGTGGTTGGGGTGAATGTAGAGGTAAGGTTAGGGGTAGGGTTAGGTTTAGGGGTAGGGTTATGGGTAGGGTTAAAGGTTGGGGTAGGGTTAGTGGTTTGGGTAGGGTTAGGGGTAGGGCTATCCCTACACCTAACCCTACCCCTAACCCTACCATACCCCTACCCCTAATCCTAAACCAACCCTAACCCTACCCCTAACCCTACCCCTAACCCTACCCCTAACCTTAAACCAACCCTACCCTAACCCTAACCCTACCCTAACCCTACACTTACCCGAAGTTCTGAAGTCCCAAAGTTCCAAAGTCTCGAAGCGCTGAAGTCCCGAAGTGCTGACGTCCCGAAGCTCCGAAGTGCTGAAATGTAGAAGTGCCGAAGTTCCGAAGTGTCAAACCGAAGTGCCGAAGTTCCGAAGTCCCGTAATCCTGAATTTCGGAATGCCGAACTGAATACACATACACGTCCCTTTTTAGTATATTTTAATAGTCTTCCCTTTTCTCCTGCTTACCTCATGCCCAAGCAGAAAGGATGGGAGTGGAGATGTTCTGATGCTCTCCCTGGGATCTAGTTTTGGGAGAACAGGAAAGTTTTCTCTTGCTCCCTTTCAGCATAACTACAGGCTGTACTTCCACTAATATAAATATGAACTTATGGGTGTTAGAAACATAACCATGAAGCTCTCACATAAACATCCTTAAAATGTTGCTAACCCACCCAGGATGTTGGTGGTGCGCATAAAGCGGGTCCATCACCCACAGGGACCCTCAAAGTGCAACAATACCACCCACCCCACCCAAAGGGCACCCAGTGTCTATGTGAATGGGTGGTGCCAATACCCATCTTTACATTTGATTGAACCATACTTTCTATATATATTTCTAGCTCCAAAATAGTATATTTTCTGATATTTTCCAAAAATATGTTATCATCTAACCTCTTTTTATAGACAGAAGATTACATCATGAAGAATTCAAACTACATTATTCAAAGTAATTCTGAGTAGTCCCCTCATTTTAATTAGTTCACAGAAGTGTTTAGCAATCTAATTATCGTAGTAACTCCCTTGTTTTTTAACATCTACATTACTTAATGAAATAACTTTACAAAATGATTTCAATAACTTAATGATATTACTAAATTAATGAAAATCTTACATGTTGTGCACCTTATCTTCTGGATCAAAAGCTCTACAAGTATTTTGTAAAATGGGCTGGAGACTATTAATCTATTTCAATTTGAGAAGTATTGAAATGCCAAATTGACATCACATGAAAAGAACCCTACAGCATTAGTAGTGTTTATGGCAGCTGGTGAAAATTGACATATATATCAGGTTAGAGAATAGCTGTCAATGACAGGTTGATATCATGCAGTGCCACATATGAGGCTCCAATACAAATCAGAAAGTGCCTGCTACTGATGGCATATATCTTCGCATAACTGACCTGCTCGTAGAGGAAAAACTATAAAGATGCATAGGATACAGGTAAAAGTATGAGTCTAGCCATTATAAAGTTAAAGCATTGACTGGTAAGAAAATGTAAGGGACAATAAACAGTATGCACATAATTACAGACCCTACAATAATGCAGACAGGTGACAGATGGCAGTTTATTAGAGTTAACATGGGGCAAAATGTTAAATGTAGAGCAATCAGTAGGAACATTCCAATGATTCCTATTGTGATTATTCTAGTTTTAGATTTTTGTTTAATTTTGGTCTAGAATAAGCTGAAGGGTGATAATCATTATTACTGGCTAAATGTATGAGTCTACATTATAAAGAAATATTGTGGACTAATGTGTGATCATGCAACTTAGATGGACATGTTTCAAGTCATATGTTAAATTCTAACATGGTGGGAAGAAGGTTCCCATGTCAATTTAGTTGGTCCCTAGGCAACTAAATTGACATGGGAACCTATTTTCCACCATGTTAGAATTTAACCTATTGTGGTAATGGCCACAATAAATTGCTTACTGCATCAGCTCTGATTTTCTTAGTAATTGGAGACATGCCAGGCACTGGGGTGAGTCTAATGATGGTAATATGCAATATTAATCTAATGTTAATTAGATTCCACATGAAGAATGAGTCCCAGAGCTAAATGTTCAATTGAAGAATGTCTGATGGCATGTACTTAAATGTTCGATCATGACAAAAAAAAATGGTTGAGACAGTTTTTGAACACATTCACTATGACATTTCACTATGACATTATCTTACCCATATAAGGATCTCCAAGAATGCATTTTTTTCTGATGTATAATCACTTTATCTCAACTATCTTTGGTTGTTAACCCTGTTGTTGTTTGCCCTGTAAGTCACCTTTAGTGAGGCATCAAAATGTGGCATCACTCACAAAACAACTACTATAAACATTTTCTGGTGCTTGGACTTAGTGAGCACATATACGCACACTTGTGAATGTTCATTTGTCACATTAAGTATGCGAGAAGGAGGGGGGAAATCAGTTTCTGAAAAAAAAAAAAACTTTACCTCAATGTCACATCATGCTAAATACAGGTCACGGATAGAATTCCGAATTGCCGGAGTGCCGAATTTCCGAATTGCCGAAGTGCCACATTTCGGAAGTGCCGAAGTGCTTTGGATTTCTGAAAAGTGGCAAAACAGGAGAGGGTTGGGGTTAGGGTTGGGGTAGGGTTAGGGGTTGGGGTAGAGTTAGTGGTTGGGGTGGAGGTAGAAGTAAGGTTAGGGGTAGGGTTAGGTCTAGTGGTAGGGTTTGGGGTAGGGTTAAAAGTCGGGGTAGGGTTAGGGGTATCCCTAACCCTACCATAACCCTACCCCTATCCCTAACCCTAACCCTACCCCTAACCCTACCCCTAACCCTACCTATAACCATACCCCTAACCCTAACCCTTCCTTTACCATACCCCTAACCCCACTTCTAACCTAACCCTAAACCAACCCTAACCCTACCCTAACCCAAACCCTACACTTACCTGAAGTCCTGAAGTCCCGAAGTGCCGAAGTTCCCGAAGTTCCGAAGTGCCGAAGTTCCGAAGTGTCGAAGTGCCAAAGTTCCGAAATGCTGAAGTCCCGAATTTCGGAATGCCAAATCGAACCGAATATTTTCCCCATGCACATCCCTATTTACTACATTTTAATAGTCTTCCCTTTTCTCCTACTTACCTCATGTCCAAGCAGAAAGGATGGGAGTGGAGCTGTTCTGATGCTCTCCCTGGGATCTAGTTTTGGGAGAACAGGAAAGTTTTCTCTTGCTCCCCTTCAGCATAACTACAGGCTGTAGATGCCATGATAAAGCATCGCAACCTGGCTCCCACTTTCACTAATATAAATGTGCACTTATGGATATTAGAAACATAACCATGAAGCTCTCACACAAACATCCTTAAAATGTTGCTTACCCACCCAGGATGTTTGTGGTGTGCATAGAGTGACTCCATCACCCACAGGGACCCTCAAAGTGCAACGATACCACCCACCCCACCCAAAGGGCACCCAGTGTCTATGTGAATAGGTGGTGCCAATACCCATCTTTACATTTGATTGCACCAGTTAAAACTTTCTATATATAGTACTAGCTCCGAAATAGTATATTTTCTGATATTTTCCAAAAATATGTTATCGTCTAACCTTTATTTATAGACAGAAGATTTTATGGTGAAAAATTCAAACTACATTATTCAAAATAATTCTGAGTAGTCCCCTCATTTTAATTAGTTCACAGAAGTGTTTAGCAATCTAATTATCGTAGTAACTCCCTTGTTTTTAACATCTACATTACTTAATGAAATAACTTTACAAAATGATTTCAATAACTTAATGATATTACTAAATTATTGAAAATTTTACGTGTTGTGCACCTTATCTTCTGGATCAAAAGCTTTACAAGTATTTTGTAAAATGGGCTGGAGACTATTAATCTATTTCAAGTTGAGAAGTATTGTAATGCCAAATTGACATCACATGACAAGCACCCTACAGCATTAGTAGTGTTTACGGAGCTGGTGAAAATTGACAAATATATCAGGTTAGAGAATAGCTGTCAATGACAGGTTGATATCATGCAGTGCCACATATGAGGCTCCAATGCAAATCAGAAAGTGCCTGCTACTGATGACATACAGCTATGCATAACTGGGATGCGTAGGATACAGGTAAAAGTATGAGTCTAGCCATTATGAAGTCAAAACATTGAATGGTAAGAAAATGTAAGGGACAATAAACAGTATGCACATAATTACAGACCCTACAATAATGCAGACAGGTGACAGATGGGAGTTTATTAGAGGTAACATGGGGCAAAATGTTTAACGTAAGGCAATCAGTAGGAACATTCCAATTATTCCTATTGTGATTATTCTAGTTTTAGATTTTTGTTTAATTTTGGTCTAGAATAAGCTGAAGGATGATAATCATTATTCATGGCTAAATGTATGAGTCTAGATGATAAAGAAATATTGTGGATCAGGGCCGTCTTTAATATTGATTGGGCCCTGGGCAAGCATTTGCTTGGGGCCCCTGGATCCACTCCCTAACATGCAATCACGCCTCCACCCCAACGCAGTGGGCGAACTAAAGTAGAAAGAGCCCTGGTGCAAGAATTCCATTTGGACCCCCAATTGCAAGGTTGGAAAGAAGGTAGAACCCTATCTGTCATGCAACTCCAACAATGCATTGACAGCTGGGGCTCTACCAATTTCCCATGCTTGCAGGGTTGTATTTAGCAATGTGTTTGTGTGTTTGAATGTAAGCATGTTTTTGTATGGAGTATGTTTGTGTGAATGTGTTTGTATGTGGTGTTAGAGTTTGAATGCAAGTGTACATTTAAGTGTAGTGCTGGTTTGTTTATATATAATTTTGGTGTTTAACACAGAGGTGTGTTTGTATGAAGTGTTGACTTTCAATGCAGGAGTGTGTTTGTATGTAATGTTGAAGTTTGAATGGAAGGGTGTATTTGTATTTATTGTTTGTGCTCAGACACAGGTAGACATGCTGACACACAAGCAGATACACACACTGACTACATACAGATACGCACACAGATAAACACACAGACACATACAGATACACAGACAGATAAACTGAGACATACTGACACACATAAATACATACAATGATAGACACATTCTGACACACACACTGACACAAACGGTCTCACAGGCACATACGATGACAAACATACTGACACACACACAGGCACAAACACTGATAGACATACTGACACACACACACACACAAACAGGCACATATACAGACATACTAACACACACACACAGTATCTCTATCAGCGTATGTGGCTGTGTGTGTGTGTCAGTATGTCTGTATATGTGCCTGTGTGTGTGTGTGTGTGTGTTTGTGTGTGTGTGTGTCAGTATGTCTGTATATGTGCGTGTGTGTGTGTGTCAGTATGTCTATCAGTGTATGTGCCTATGTGTTTGTGTCAGTATGTTTGTCATTGTATGTGCCTGTGTGTGTCAGTATGTCTATTAGTGTCCCTGTATCAGTATGTATATCAGTGTATGTGCCTGACACACACACACATACACACATACACACATACACTGGAAGACATACTGACACACAGGCACATACACTGGCAGACATACTGACACACACAGAGACATACTGACACACAGATACATACACTGATAGACATGCTGACACACACACATACACACTAATAGGCATACTGACACACAAACAGGCACATACACTGACAGACATACTGACACACACAGATACATACACTGTCAGACATACTGACATACACTCACACAGACCTTCTGACACACACACAGATACAGACACTGTCAAACATACTGACATACACACATACACTATCAGACATACTGACATACACAGACACACACAGACATACTGACACACACAGACATACTGACATACACAGACACATAAACTGTCAGACATACTGACACACACACACACACAGGCATACTGACATACACAGACACATACACTATCAGACATACTGACATACACACTGTCAGACATACTGACACACACACACAGATACAGACATACTGACACACACAGACACATACACTATCAGACATACTGACATACACAGACACACTGTCAGACATACTGACACACACACACAGACACAGACATACTGACACACACAGACACATACACTATCAGACATACTGACACACATACACACAGACATACTGACACACACAGATACATGGACAGACAAACTGACATACATGTAAAATTTACATTTTAAGCCCACCCTCCAGTTTCCTACCTTTTGCTGGAGGGTGGCATCCCTGGGATCCAGTGTGCTGCCTGAGGATGATGTGAGTGAGGAGCCCCCATCCTCACTGCCTCCTCCTCCCTCCCGTGCAGGTCCTTCTTCTCCCGCGCAGCAGCTCTTTATGGGAGGAAGTGACGCTTGGCACTCACTTCCTCCCAGCGCTGCCGAAAAGCAAGAGGCCCGGTCGCGCTGTTAAAGGGCCACAGCGCCCGACCGGGCCACAGCGCCCGACCGGGCCCCTGCTGGTACAAGCCCACTGGGTGGCCCTAAGTGCATGGGCCACCCGGTGGGACTCCTTACATTTTATTTTATTTTTTAGGGCAGCGGGGCCCACGGGACAGCTGCCTTCGGCCCCCAGGAGTAATTAGGCCCGGGGCAGCTGCCCCGTTTGCCCCACGTTAAAGACGGCCCTGTTGTGAATTAATGTGTTCATGATCATGCAACTGAGATGTACATGTTTCAAGTCATATGTTAAATTCTAATATGGTGGGAAAAAGGTTTAATTTAGTTGGTCCCTAGGCAACTAAATTGACATGGGAACCTTTTAACCACCATGTTAGAATTTAACCTATTGTGATAATGGACCACAATAAATTGCTTACTGCATCAGCCCTGATTTCCTTAGTAATTGGAGACATGCCAGGCACTTGAGGTGAGTCTAATGATGGCAATATGCAATATTAATCTAATATTAACTAGATTCCACATGAAGAATAAGTCCCAGAGCTAAATGATCAATTGAAGAATGTCTGATGCCATGTACATAAATGTTGTGACAAAAAAAATGGTTAAGAGACAGTTTTTGAACACATTCACATTTCACTATGACATTATCTTACCCATATAAGGATCTCCAAGAATGCGTTTTTTCTGATGTATAATCACTTTATCTCAACTATCTTTGGTTGTTAACCCTGTTGTTGTTTGCCCTGTAAGTCACCTTTAGTGAGGCATCAAAATGATGTGGCATCACTCACAAAACAACTACTATAAACATTTTCTGGTGCCTTGGACTTAGTGAGCACATATAACCACATTTGTGAATGTTCATTTGTCACGTTAAGTATGTGAGAAGGAGGGGGAAATTAGTTTCTGAAATTTTTTTTTTTCCCTTAATGTCATATCATGCTGAATACAGGTCACAGATAGAAGCCAGTCTTTAGAATCTGCAAAGTCAAGTTTAAATAAACCAAAAAGAGTCGCATAACTCTAAGACAGGTTGCATTGTATTTTGCAGGAGATTGGGCGACAGTCTGAGTAAATAAAGAGTCAGAAACAACATAAAGGGACTCTCTAGATAAAACATGAGTTGCATTCAGGCTCAATTGTAGTGACTGACACATTTAAAGTACAATGATATGTAATTGTTTAATCTTATGAATATTAACCACAGCATTCCATTGGTAGTCCAACAATATTTGGGGAGAAGATCATAATGAATATCCATATCCTATATGTACAATTATAATTAGTCTGAAGTTGAATGGATGACAGTCAAGTCTAATTTTTATATAGTTATCAATGTACACCTCCTTATCTCACCAAAAACTGTGCATGCTGTCATAGCAATCTGGTCATTAAGTATCTCATTCAATCATGGAATGTTGTGTTTACATGAATTAAGTAAGTAGTAATGCTATGACTGCAAAGAATGCATTTGGTGAATAAAATACAGTAAATTGATAATAAAAAAAAAATGATTACCGTTGGTCAGTTATCGTTAGTTACATAGTTCCTACTTTAACTTCCTTTCTATTCTTCTGCTCCTAGCAGCTGGTGATGTCTCTCCAAGCCCCGGTCCCATCTCAGCAAACCCACCATGTACTAACTCAAGGAACCACACCAATCTAATACCCATCTCATGTTACTCTTCCTCTAAATCCTCCTTCAATACTGCCCTCTGGAATGCACGCTCTGTTTGCAATATTACAAAATCCACTTCTGTTCACGACCTCTTCATCTTTCGTTCCCTAGATTTACTAGCCTTAACAGAAACATGACTCTTCCCCTCTAACACTGCTACCCCTTTGGTGGTCCTTTGGTGGTCCTCAACTTACCAACAACCCAAGACACTCTGAATGTAAAGGTGGTGTTGTAGGGTTTCTCGTCTCACCTCACTGCTCCTTCAAACTTCTGGTCCCTTCCCTCTCTTTCCCATCATTGGTGTCTCCTTTTCTAATGATATCTCCTAGTCTCGTCCTGTCTCAGTTGGAGTCCCCCAGGGCTTTCTCCTTGGTCCCCTTCTAATTTATCTTAATACTACCTCTCTTGGCAAAGTATTACCTAACTTGGATTCCACTACCACCTGCACGTTGATAACACCCAGATATATCTCTCCTCCCCTGACTTCTCCCCTGCCGTCCTACAACGTGTCACTGCTTGCCTTTCTTCCATCTCTGACTGGATGTCCTCCCGCTTTCTGAAACTCAATCTCTTTAAAACTGAGCTCCTTGTCTTTCCTCCTCCTAATACTGATCCTCCTCTTTCGCTCTCCCTTCAGGTTAGTGGTATCCACATTAGTCCATTCTTGCAAGTGTGCTGTCTTGGCATCATACTTGATTCTGGCCTAATCTTTGAGCCTCACATCCAGTATGTTGCCAAATCCTGTAGATTCCATCTTAAAAACATAGCCCGCATCCGCCCCTTTGTTACGCAAGATGCTACCAAGGAGCTTGCCCGTGCTCTAGTAATTTCCCACATGGATTATTGTAACCCTCTCCTAATTGGTTTTCCCAAAAGCCGTATCGTCCTACTACAGTCTGTAATGAATGCTACCGCCAGACTGATTTTCCTCTCTAGTGGGTCCTCTCACACCTCACCCCTCTGTCAGTCCTTACATTGGCTTCCTGTATTCTATAGGAGTCAATTCAAAGTGGTAACCCACACATATAAAGCACTGAACAATTCTAGCCCCTTTTACATCTCTTCACAGATCCATAGGTATGCCCCTTCTCAATCTCTCCACTCTGCCCGTGAACTTCTCCTGTCCACTGCTTGCACCCGTATGGCCAACTCATGCTTGCAGGACTTTTCGCGGGGGCTCCTTTCCTATGGAATAGCCTGTCTACCGCCATTAGACTCTCCCCTAGTCTTCAATCATTTAAGAAGTACCTTAAAACCCATCTCTTTAGGAAAGCTTATGGCCTCCCAGAGTAACCTCTACCTCACATACTTGTCTCTTGCTCTTTCCTAAAGGGCAGCACTTTACTCTCTCCTCCAGCTATGCTTCACTCCCACCTTATCTGATTGCTATTTCCTGCCCTAATGTGTGTTATACAGGGCCGGCGCTACTATAAGGCGGCACAAGCGGCCGCCTTAGGGCGCACGGACCCAAGGGGCGCAAAAATGTCCGAGTGACTGGCGGGAGCACGGAGAACTCCGCTTCCGCCGGTCAATTTCTGCAGCAATCTAATCAGCTGGCTGAGAAACGTGCACCCACTGAGGGAAGGGGGCGGAACAGCGAGGAGCGACCGCGGCAATTCTCTTCCTGAGCTACAGGCCGCTGGGATACGTGACATCATATCCCGGCGGCCAACTGCTGTGGAGGAAAGCTACAACAGTGCAGCGGGACCTCTGTTTTGCAACTATAAGAAACAGTAAGTGTGTGTGTGTGTGTAAGAGTTAGTGTGTGTGTTAGAGCCAGTGTATGTGTGTGTGTTAATGTGTGTGTGTTAGAGCTAGTGTGTGTATGTAAGAGTTAGTGTGTGTGTGTGTGTTAATGTGTGTGTGTTAGAGCCAGTGTGTGTATGTAAGAGTTAGTGTATGTGTGTGTGTGTGTAAGAGTTAGTGTGTGTGTGTGTGTGTAAAAGTTAGTGTGTGTAAGAGTTAGTGTGTGTGTGTCTATAAACTGTGTGTGTGTAAGAGACTGTGTGAGTGTAAAGCAGTGTGTGTGTGTGTGAGAGACTGTGTGTGTGTTACAGCTAGTGAGTGTGTATAAGCAATGTGTGTAAGAGACTGTTTTTGTGTGTCTGTTAGAGCCGGTGAGTGTGTATAAGCCGTCCAAGTGTGTAAGAGACTGTGTGCGTTAGAGACAGTGTGTGTGTATTAGCAGTGTGTGTGTGTGTAATGGTCAGTGTGTGTGTGTTATGGTCAGTGTGTGTGTGTGTATGAGCGAGTGAGTGTGTGACGCAAGGGGGTAAAGAAAAGTAGGATGAAGACACAAAACACGTAAAAAATAATGCCAGACAGGATACAATATACAAAAAAGGAAAACAAGAGAAAAAGGTGGTAAGATGCAAAGGGGCAAAATAATTGGTAAGAGGGGCAAAAGTGGGAATATTAGACAGACAGGTGAAGATACATTTTGGGGGCAGCAAAATGTGTCTTCGCCTGTGTAGACAGAAGTCCTTGCACCGGCCCTGGTGTTATACCCCACCTCCTATAGACTGTAAGCTCGTTTTGAGCAGGGTCATTGTTCCTGTAAGTTTTCTTGTAATTGTCCTTTTTATAGTTAAATCCCCCTCTCATAATATTGTAAAGCGCTATTGAATCTGTTGTCGCTATATAAATGGCAATAATAATAATATTTTGTTACATGGTTACATGAAAAGAGACATGTGTCCATCAAGGTCAGCCTTCCTCACGTTTGTTTTTTTCTGTTGATCCAAAAAAAAAGGCCAAAAACACAGTTTGAAGCACTTCTAATTTTGCAAAAAAATAGGGAGAAAATTCCCTCTTGACCCCAGAATGGCAGTCAGATTTATCCTTGGATCAGGAAGCTATTATCCTACAGTTGAAATTATATCATTGAATATTCTGTTTTTGCAAGTATGCATCTAGTTGCTGTTTAAACCTTGTGTCCTATGTAAATTCCTGTTTGTGAATAAATTACCACACAATGGTATGTATTGGCCGTGTTACTACTGTACATATTAAATATGCAAAAATCTTTCTGGTGAGCTGTAATGAAGTCTTATGAAAAGCTCTCCTTTAGTGATAACTCTTATTGGCAGTAATGGCCTCCTGTCTTTTGGCTGCATAAGCAATGCTGTGTCAGGAGGCAGGTAAACAAGTTTCATGCATAGGTGTCTGCTCTCTCTTGTGGACAAATAAAAGCAAATAGCTTTAATAAATCATATAAATGGAGATGATCAGGGAGCTAACTGATGCATAGCATAAGCAATTAACATATAATTACAGAGTTCCTTTAAATGATTTGATAGTTTCTGAATAGTAATTAAGCAAGTTTCAAAATTTCCTGCAGCATTGCAAACTTATTGAAGTGTCAGCTAATTTTTTTGTTTGTTTTTGTTCTTTAGTAATGTATATTCTGTATGACAACTTCTTGCAGACCAATGCTGTATTACACCTTTAAGCATTTCCCTCCTTTCTCAATAAATTCAGCAAATTCTTGTAGAAATTTGATAGATGTGCTGCTAACAGTGATAGCAGCCTTCTCTTCAGTGCTATGTAAAGTATGAATGCTTTCGAACTGCAGAACCAAGCCTTATTGTCATGGAAGAATATTTATATATCAGCACATTTATGCCTTTCATAGCCACAAGAATGAAACCTTTTGTGTGAATTATTTTTAAATGTAAAGGCATGACGCATTGCATATTTTAATCCTGAATGTATAAAATTAGATGTGGGTGTAATGTTTGATGTTTTAACTTTAAAGAGTTAACTTGTAATGAGGTGAAGTCAGGTAGAGCTTTGCCCTTTAAGAGGGGTGTGCTACACTCCGTATTTCACTTATGATTATGAATATTATTATTATTGAGAAAGTGCCAACAAATTCTGCAGTGCTGTACAATCGGAACATGAGCAGTGGGTTGCATGAAACCTGTTTGGTAGAAGTCTGTCTTTAGCTATTAGATTTAACTTATTAAAGTATTAATATTCAACCTGATGTCATGTTTTTTTTTCTTTTGATTTTCCTTACCTGATGCCTCTTATTTCTTAATGATTATACTCTTTCATTTTGCCTCTTACCTTTTTATATTTATTATTTTTTATTTTACTTGTGCTGGATCTCAATATCTGGGTGCAGCCATTTTGTTCTCTTCTGCCCACAATTTCTTCTGTTTGCCTTTCAGCGGTTTTAATATTGCCGTTATTTATCGCCCCCCCTGGTTCCCCTCTCCTCGTACTTGACCACTTTGCTGCCTGGCCTACTTCCTCTCTTCTAATATTCCATCTCTAATTCTCGGGGACTTCAATATTCCCAATAACCCATCTTTGACCTCAGCAGCCTCTAAACTACTTTCAATTACTTCCTCCCTCGGGATATCACAGTGGGCTAATTCTCCCACCCTTGTAGCCGGCAATACCCTCAACCTCATTTTCTCTTATGCATGTACAGTATCTAATATCTGCAACACTCTATTTTCTCTCTCTGATCACCACCTCTAATCGTTTGCTCTCAAGTGCCCCCTCACCCAACAACCTCAGCCTAACCCCCTCAACTCAGGAGGGACATTAATTCTATTGACCTCCAGCAGCTGTCAGCTGATATTGATTCACAACTGCTATCCATCCCTTCCCTCTCCTGTCCCTCACTGGCCATCTCCACATAAAACAGTACTCTCACCTCTGCCTTGAATTCTGCAGCCCCGCTCCAAACATGCACCTTAAGGCATACCGTGGCATACTAAATCAACACGCTACCTGCAAAGATGCTCTCGTTGTGCTGAATGCTCCTAGAGGAAGTGTCGCTCCCAGGCAGACTATCTCCATTATAGATTCATATTGTGTCCATACAGCGCAGCCCTTGCCCTCGCCAAACAGTCATACTAGTTCATGCTTCTGCAATCCCAGTAGTCTCTTTGACACCTTTAACTCTCTTCTTCGCCCTGCTGTGGCCACCCCTCAAACTGACCTTACAGCCAATAGCTTTGCATGCTACTTTACCGACAAGATTGAACAGCTAAGGAAAGAATTCTCCCCACCTTGCCGTTCTCTTTCTCAACCACATGTGGATCATGCCTTTCCTACCCTTCCAGTGATATAATTATCACATAAAAGCTTTCTAGTAGAAGCAACCTTTTGGGGTGATTCTTGGTTAGCTAAAAAAAAAAAGTAAATAAGAAAAGAAAAAGGCGTGAAAAAGAAAAATGGAGTAAAACAAAAAGTGGAAACAAACAAACGGGGCCAAAACAAATCTAAAAATCAAGAAGTGAAAAAGCAAAAAATAAAATGAAAAAATGCAAAAAGAGAAACAAAATAACTAAAACAGGAAAAAATAAAAAAGTGAAAAAAACACAATAGCGCAAAGTTCAATTGACCACACACTGAAACATCAGTAAAGTCATATAGTAATATAGTATAAGCATAGTGCAAGAAAAGGGTATTTTTCATAGGTGTGCTATAATACTTGCATTACACATGCTTGAGCCCAATATTGCCAAAAGAAAAAAGTGGAAAATAGGCCAATGGAGAAGGACATGCTAAGTGCCTTTATATTCATGATTTCTTAATGTCATTATTAATCAAATGTAAAATAAACTGCAAAGCAGCTTGCAAAGTGTTCACATAAGCAGAGTAAGTAGAGAGAGAATTCTTCAATAGTTTGATTAATAGGGAGAACCAAGATTCAAAACAAGTCGACGATAGATTTCTTAATACTGGGAATATGTGCTGCTTTCAGCTAAATGTTATGTAACGTACATAGAAAAATAAACGGTCTCAGCAAAATAGTGATCAGTGCTGATTTGGCTTTTAGGGTATTAATTACCCAAACTACATCCCATATTATCACAATTAAACTGTAGCAATAATGGGGAAGATTTCTAAAAAAAAATAAAAAATAAAGTTTTTTGGTTCAACCTGTTGCGTGCCAAGATTGGGGCCAAGCACCAACTGCCCACTTTCTGTCCCAGAATATGCCAAATCCTTTTGATCCTGCAGCATCAATGTATAATCCTGTCAACTGATTGCTGCCAAAATCCTCTTGCCAGATAGTGCCACCATTAAAATTGATTAGGAACATGTTCTAAACATTTAAATCTTCTTTAATCTCCTTCGACACTCTGATGTGAAAATGTTATTGTTTTTTCCCATGGCTCTGGCAATATTTCAGGAAACCCGGGATGCAAAACAATGCAGGCCCAAAAGTTATTGCAACAGGTTCACCATCACTTTTTTGCAGAGACATGCAAATTGTAACACACTTTTCAACTTAGTTACCTTGTTTAGTGGCAGTCTAAAATCCATATTAAATGTGCCAATTACAATGCCTAGGAATTGTAAACAAGTGGCAGGATGGACTGTCTTATTCTGAGCCAATGGGATATCACGGGAATTAGACAAAACCACAAAAGCCTGTAAAAAGGTCTATACATTCAGACAAATTGCTTTTACTTATAAATAAAAACTTGTCTAAATAATGAACTAACAGACAAACCAGTAATTCTAACTAAACACCAATGGAGAAAAGATAAAACAACTCAAAATCAAAAAAGCAAGAAACTGATGAACCTATAGACATACATTCATCAAAATAAAAATAGCCTTCAAGTTGAAAATCTAAGGAGAGAATACAGACTAGATATATGGGTAGCTAGCAGAATGCTCATTTAATGTCAGCATTCCGTAAAGCACATTGTCCGCATTTTTCTTTATCAAGCTCAAAGTATCATCAAACTATGAATATGACACATAAAATTCTGTGGGCATTGGAATGGACCAGCAATTCTACCTAAAGAAACTTCTTTATGTCACGGTTCCAGAACCAGACCATGGACAGATCACTAGAGGAACAATTGCAATACCGGTCCTTAGAGTGGCCGGGCTATGCAAAAGGAGAAAGTTCAGTGTACAAGCTAAAGTCAAAGGAGTATAGAGATACGGAACAACGATAAGACAAGCTGAGGTCAAGGATCAGAGAAGACAGAGTAAACAAGAGACAAAGCAAAAATTTGGTAACCAACGATCAGACAGAGTAAACACACTATTGGGCTATCAGAAGACCACAATAGGGCAACAAGGCAAGGAGGAGGTAAGTTTAAATATCCTTAGGTTAATTTTGATTGGCTAGTTTCCAATTAGAGTTAATTATAAAACGTGGAAGGTATTTGATCCATCCACTTTGATCCCTGATGTCATCAATGTGCGCAGAGTCAGGGCCACATAGAACCTACTGACATTTCACGACAATTAGATAACCAAGACTGCAGGATGTATGGTCTTGAACATCACATGGACCAGTCTACCCAAGCACTACAGACCATCTTGGTTCATATTGCGCGCATATTTATGCACGCGTGGGCAGGGGGCCTGTAATAACCCTCAGACAACCGCCAGGAGGGCGGGAAGCCAGAGGCTTCAGTGGAAAATGAGCATGTAAAGCCTGGACTAAGCGGGGAGCATGCAGATCAGAGGCAGATACCCAGGACGCTCCTCCGGGCCATAACCCTTCCAGTAGACCAAGTACTGCAGGGAACCACGGAAGAAGTGCAAGTCAAGGAGATAGGTATTCCTCATCGGAGGCAGCATGGACAGGGCGAGGACGAACAACAGACCTGGTAAACCTATTACACAACAAAGGCTTCAGAAGGGACGTATGAAAGGTGTTGGGAACACACAGGGACGGAGGCAAGTCCAAGGAGTAGGAGACAGGATTAACCCTGCAGAGGATCCTATAAGGACCTATGTACTTTGGGGCCAGCTTCATTGAAGGGACGCGTATGCGCAAATGCTTCATAAAGCGCCAAACCCTATCACCTGGAACATAACTAGGTGCCGCAGCCCTAAGGCGATCAGCTAACCTCTTTTGAGACACGGCTGCACGGGACAAAGCAGAATGGACTCGATCCCACATCTCCCATAAAGTGGCAAGGTGAACATCCAAAGCAGGTATTCCCTTTTCAGGGAACACACCAGGAAGGATGGGGGTTGAATACCATAAGCCACCTGGAAAGTACTTAAGCCAGTATAGGTATGACAAACCATATTCCTGGCAAATGCAGCCCACGGGAGAAGGCCAGTCCAATTATCATGCTGCTAATTAGCAAAGCAGCGCAAGTACAATTCTAGAGACTGGTTCGCCCTTTCAGCAGCACCGTTAGACTGTGGATGATAAGAGGAAGA